ATCTCAAGAAATTGCTAATTGTGGTGTAAACAATAACACAATTGGAAATTAATCAATGACTTTTGGGAGTAGTATAAGCCATCGCATCCGGACCAGTGTTTTAAGAACCGGATCGGACCAGCCGGTTCAACCGGTTGAACCGTCAACCGGTGGACAAAACGGGCTGGGTGGACACCCAGGCCCGTTTAGACGGTTGGATCGTCCAAACCCGGAAGAACCGTTCGACCCGTTCGACCCGTCCAACCCGATGGACCCGGTGAACCGGCCGGGCGAATTCTTCCATGGTGACTGGACGCTACAAGCCTACTGCAACTTCGTTTTCATTTTTTTTTTCACGATTTCCCACTTTTTCCAACACAAAAGCAAAATCTTATAGTTTTTTCTCCATTCTCTAGTCTCCATTTGTTCTCCACTCTCAAATCCAGTCTCCATTGCTTTTCCAGATCTGATCGTTGTTCTCCATTACTGTTCTGGATTCTTTAGTTTCCAACTTTCCATCACTTTTCCAGCCATATCGACAAAGAAGAAACCACAGGGTAGCACCGTAGCAGATCGGGCAACAGATCAGCTTCTCCTTCGCATCTCCAGATCCAACAGCAGATCAGCTTCTCCATCGCATCTCCAGATCGGGAAGCAGAGGGCAGCAGATCAAATCAGCCTTCATCGAAAGACTTGTCTAAAACCACCCATTAAATTAGAGGTTGATAAAAAGGAGCCATGAAAGATCATAATTGGGTTTTTGTTTTTTTTTTTTTTAAATCACTTGATGATGGTTTGTGTTCTGATGAAGTGATGATCGATTGCAATGGAATTAATTGTACAGGGCACTCGCCTCGCGCACTCTCCAGCCAACACTTTCACTTTTATTGGGCCACGTTATATTGGTTGAAGAGGTCTCATAGATATATTTACATCATAGATATATTTATAAAAACAGTATATAGACATATATATAATTAATTATCATAAAAAATGATTTGACATGAAAAACAGAGTATGATACTTTTATAATAGTTAATTATATATATATATATATGTCTATGCACTGCAATGAATTATTATAAATATATCACATTTTTATATGAATTAGTTGTATGATACTTTATTTATTTATTTAATTTTAAAACTTGTTTTTCATATATATTTTGTTTTGAAATTTATTTTTAATTTATTATGTGAATATATATTTATTAAATTTAATTTAAACTGAAAATAATTTTATAATGCTAGAAATTACAAGGAAAAAAATTGCAAAACACAGTAGCCAAATAATGTGAGAAACTGCAGAACTTAAAACTGCAATTTTAGGCACTCTTCAATTGACCGGGGCGGGTGGCCGGTTGAACCGGTCAGACCGCCAGAACCATGAACCGGTCACCAAACCGGTTCAACTACCGGTTCGGGTTTCAAAACCATGATCCGGACCATGACTGCCTTAATGAATAAATATTG